TTTTTTTTTTTTTTTTTTTTTTTTTTATAAATAAAAAATAAATAAAAAAATAATTAAAAAATAAAAAACGGATTTTCAAAATCCATTTTTTATTTTTTATTATTAAAAAAATAAATAAAAAATAAAAAACGGATTTTGAAAATCCGTTTTTTAACAAAAAATAAAAAAAAATAAAAATAAAAATAATAAAAAAATAAAAACGGATTCTCAAAATCCGTTTTTCAAGGAAAAACGGATTTTGAGAATCCGGCTGTTTTATTTTTGTCCAGAATGTTTTTTTTTTTTTTATGGATGTCCACGGATTTTTTGTTTTTTTTATATAAATAAATGATTCTATAATTTTCTCTTATTTAAGAATATGTGGCAAATTGTCACATTATCTTTACATTAACCTGTTTATTTTATTTAATTAATAAAATTAATTTATTTGTTGATTGCATATTATTATTTTATTATTGACTTACATTTGGTTCATTACATGAAATAATTCATCTGGTTTAAAGTTTATCTAATAAATATTTAAAATATTTAATAAAATTATTTGTGGCATTATCATGTAAAGGCAAAAGCATGCCATTATTTTATATGTATGATGATATTTTCTTTTATCTTATGTCCTTATTGTTAGCTTTATTATGAAGTTAGTATTTTACACTTAAGATTATATAAATTGTTTCAATTCTCATAAAAAAAATTAAAAAATCATTGTTAATATTATATGAACACATCACTTTAAAAAATAAAAAATTACGTCATTCACCTGCAAATATTTATTTATTTGCACATTTACGAGTTTTTATTTTTAATTACAAATACACTGACTTATGTTGTTTATAAATGACTAATTTTTAGTTTATTTTTGTTATTGATTTCTTAATTTTATTATTTTTTGAGGTATGACTTATTTATGAATGATTTATGTATAGTTTACTTTGAATCTCGATTTTCGCAAAAAAATAAAAGAGTATAATAAACATGTCAAACTAAAAAAAAAATTAGGTGTTTGGCCCATGGCCTCAGAATGTGCAAGATCGGCTCTGGTTCCTTTGGTGTTGGTAACTGCCTGTTGCGGTTTCTTTCTGTGGGATTCAGGCTTATAGTCCTTCCCTTACAAAGTTTGGGTTGTGTGTTTCTAGGTCACCATGAGGTGTACCTCCCAGTGTATTTTCCTTTTAGCCGGTTGTGGCTTGTGGTCGGATTGTATCTGTGCTGCTTTCTTGACATTATGATGTGGAATGAGAATGTCTCTATCGTTGGAAAAAAAAAATCTATTATTCATTCAACGGGCACGAGTTGAACAATCACAGATTCGACCATTTTCAACACAAGAATTGAAACTCTAACCCTAGGTGGAAGAATTAATTTCATGTTAATGAAATAAAAGAAAATTTTTGCTTCTTTATGCCTCATTATTCGGTAAGACAAGACAAGATTAATATTTGAGAAATGCTACAAGTACATAATACTATACATAGAGTTGTACATAACACTCACATAAGTGGGTCTTCCTAAAAATAAAAAATTAAATGGACCTCACTCCATGTGAGTGTTATGTACAACTTTATGTACATTTATTATGTACTTGTAGCATTTTTCTTAATATTTTGTAAGGTGGTGACATTGTTTTGTATGGACAGGGGGTAAAACTTCATTTGTTAAACAAAACTAATCACAAGATAAGATTTCTAAAAATTTAAAAAATAAATTAATAAATAAAAAACAGCACATCCGTTTGTTTCAAAGATAATATGTGGCATAACAACGTTGTATATAAAAATTTATATGGACTATAAACCGGCCCATAAAGACCTGGCAAAATGGACATTGAAAATGTCTTCTTCTATTGGACCTATAAACTCAAGAAGGAAGCGGCCTAGGAAGCAGCGTTGGCAAGACATGTCGATTATCCCATCCGGCGGCCAATCTACCAAAAATGCCTATCCAACCTTAATATCTTTCCAGAGAAGAATGGTGATCTTCCTTGTTTTGTTTCATCAGTAAGAAACACTAAATAATGACTCATAACAATTTATATATATATTTTTTTAACTTATCAATTTATTATCATGCTAAAAATAAAACAAAAATAAATAATTACAAACAATTTTTTCGTGAACAAGCATATTTATTCATAATTTATTTGTTGATGCTAAGGAATTACCATATGATGCCAACCACTTATTCTAGTAAGAATTGCAACATAGGTTTTTATTTTGGTAGTGTGCATCTTCACAGAATCTAAGGGCTTATAATAAATAAATGACTAACATCCAATGATTTATATTAGAAGCACAGTATCTTTCCGTAACGGCACGGTAGAGCATCTTCAATGCTCCACTTTGAACATTAATTAAATTTGAACACATGTCAAATGATGAATGGAATGTAAATCCACGTAATATGAATGTCAAAAGAGAAGACTTTAATTTGGAATGCACATCGTCAATGCATCCCTTTCAAAAGCTTAAAATAAGTTAAATTTTTTAGGAGTTGGCTTTCAAACACTCTTTAGAAAATTAGAAAGTGGGCTTCACACTTTGGATATTTATTGTCTCCATATCAACATAAAAGAGTCCATAACATTATGTATTGGAGAGTAATTTTTGCAATCACTTTATAACTTGATGATGTGGCTAACATTTTATTAAGTCAACATCTCACATTGGAGATGCTACAATTAAAGAAAATTATAGATTATAGTCTCGTGTGAGCAGAGAACAGAGGCTATGAAACAATTGACACTCGCATATTAATTGCAAAAGTTTGAGGATTAGAGAACAATTTTTTCAATGAAAAGTCTGTGGTTGGTAATGAACTATTTTGGCAAAAAATTGTTTTCATTTGAAGTGTTGTACACAAATATTATCCTTGCAACTAAATCTCTGGTCAAGCAATCGGCCCTTTTTGCAAGTCGCAAATCCACTAAATGTTCGAAAACAAAGGCCCCGTTTGGTAGATAGCGGATTGAAGGTAAATTAGCGGATTTGACTTAATTGAGAGGTTTGACCCGTCAAATCCGCTATTGAGTCTGTTTGGTAAATAGCTTATTTGATAAGCTTTTTGGGCTCAAACCTCTAATTTAGAAAAAGCTCATTAGAGGAGCTTTTTGGGGATAGAGGATTTACAAAAAAAAATTTTACTTGGAACTTTTTAATTTGTATTATTTATTTTAAAATCTATATTGGTTTATGGTGCTAATAAATAGTAATATGTCATCCATATGATTAATTTATCTAGAAAAATGTAAAATTCATAACTTCTTCATCAAGTTTTATAGGCAATTTAAAGAAAAAAAATAATATATTTATAAATTATCAACTAAAGAATATTAAATGTTTTAATATATTATTATTAAAAAAATACACCCTAAATAATAAAATATTCTTATTGGTCATTTTGTAATGTCAAACAGCTATAAGCTTTCAGCTATTTACCAAACACTTATTTAAAAACCGCTAATGCAATCTGCTGGTCAAATCAGCTAATATAATCCGCTATCCACTATCCGTTGATACAATCTGCTATCCGCTATGCGCTATCCGCTGATCACCAAACAAGGTCAAAAACAAAACAAAAGAACTTTTAAACTAAACAAGCAGAATGAGATAACCAGAATACATAAGACTATGGAACAAAGTGGAATAAAATGCAAAGGAGACACTTTTTCATAAGAAAAAAAAGGGAAAAAAGGGATAATATTTGCCTCTTTATTGGATTGGACATAACCGAAGAGTTATAAAGTCCTCCGTAAGAGAGGTCATAATTTCTTGACATGGCCATTAGGGATTTCGACCCAACACTCTCATGAGCCTCCTCCATTGGATAATGAAATACACATAAACACAGTCCCACAGTTTCTGAAAGAACCCATAATAAGATTCCCTCCATTTCTTCTTAAAAAACAATGCAGAGAGGACAGCACAAACCCCAAGAGCGTACCCTAAAGATAGGAATACGTAAAACCAATCAATCTCTCGCTTTTTACTTTCTTGGCCTTGATTCTCCATGTGTGTCGGGACAGAAACATTACCATCATTTTTGCAAGAAATCCTTAGTGGAAAGCCACAAAGATTGTTGCCAACGAAGCTTGATTCGTTGAAGCTCCCAATTTGGGTGCTTTGTGGGATTGTCCCTGTCAAGTGGTTATATGACAGATTCAAGTAATTCAAAGAAGTCATGATTGACATGCTACCTGGAATGTTGCCAGAGAGTGAATTCATAGAGAAATCAAGAGATTCGAGTTGCTTCATGTTTCCAATGTTGTCTGGGATTGATCCTGTTAAATGATTTCGTGACAGGTTAAGTGATCTGAGTTCAACTAGACTTGTTATCTCCATTGGGATATCACCAGACAAATTGTTCATAGAAAGGTCAATATTTTTAAACAGAAAGAGAGTGGAGCCATAAGTGAGTTCTCGTCCCTTTGTGGCAATTGATGCCCTTTCCTTATATGTAGAAATATCAGCAACAGTATCCGAAATTCCTTCTTCAGTCAATGCGGTAAGATTGTTGAGGCAAGTAGGCATTCTCCCTGAAAGTCCGTTATGAGAGAGATACAAGTTTTGAAGAGAGGTTAGCTGACAAATGGATGGAGTAATTTCACCACTGAAATTGTTTGACCGCAAAATGAGAAACCTCAGCTTGTTAAATCTTGTATCAATCCATTTCGGTATGTCTCCACCAAGATTGTTATCAGAAAAGTCAATCTTCACTAGGTTCGCGCAATTTTGCAATGAAGAAGGTAAGTGGCCAGAGAAGTTGTTGCTGTGTAGAGTCAAAGCCTCTAACCAATTAAGAAATCCTATGGAATTCGGTATTTTTCCAAACAATTTGTTGTTGCCTAAGTTCAACGCTATCAATGATTGCCATTTCATGAAACAATCAGGTAACTCTCCAGACAGGTGGTTTCCCTCAAGATAAAGGAATTGCATAGCATTGGGTGTTGTGTTGCAGATAAGTTGTGATAAATCTCCCGATAATAAGTTATTAGAGAGATTTAAGTGAAAAGCATTTTTTCCAATTCGAGGCAATGGACCACTAAATTTATTGGAACTCGAGTCGAGAAATGAACAACTGGTGACTGGAATGTTGCCGTCGAGTTGGTTATGAGAAAGGTCGAGAATATCTAAACTCCATAACCAGCTTGGAACGTTTCCATAAACTCCAGTCCATGACAGATCAAGACTGGATATACTCTCTTTCTGAGTCTCAAGCCATGACGGAATTCGAGAGTCTGTTCCCAAGTCCCAAGACCCTAGACTAAGCGACTCTAGTTTGAATGGTGGAATCCAATTTGGACTGACTTTCAAACTCAACTGATTTCCAGAGGCATCCAAGACTTTTAAATTAGAGAGATTGGCAAAGTGGGTTTCAGTCACAACCCCTGTCAATTTGTTACTACCCAACTCTAACCATTCAAGAGAAAGCAAGTTCCCTATTTCGTTTGGAATTACACCGGACAATGAGTTTCCAAAAAGATGAAGGGATCGAAGACTCCTAAATTCTCCAAATTGAGGAGGCAGATGACCGGAGAAATGATTCAAAGACAAATTTAAAGATTTCAAAGATCCTAAGAAACAATCGGACATGTTTCCAAATGAATCCCATATCTCTCCACCCAAATTATTATAAAATAAATTCAAGGTCTGAATATTGCACAAGTTTGCAATTTCTCTTGGTATTTTTCCAGAAAGTTGATTGAAACTTAAATCGAGGTACTGGAGGTGTTTGCAGGAGTAGAGCCACTCTGGAATGCTAGAATTCAATTTGTTATTGGAGAGATCAATTTTTTGGAGTTTTGTGGTGTTGCTCATAGTTGGAATTTGGCCTTCGAATAAGTTGGAGCTCATATCAAGATAGATAAGGTTGCTGAGTTGAAAAACCCACAGAGGAATGATGGCATAAGACAGGGAATTGTAGTTCCAGGAGAGATCAAGAGTTGCTAAATTAGAACGGCTGATATTAACATCATTCAGAGGAGCCATAAAATTAAGATTACATCCACTCAAATGCAGCTCGACTAAAGAAGGAAGTTCGTTGATAACCTGTTGTGCCCAGTTGGTTGCTTTGCTGAAGTTCACACCATTCATGTTGAGGTGCTCTAGTTTACGAAGTTCCGACAACCATTCAAGACCATCAGCATTCAGCAGTTGTTCTGAAGTACCCAAACTTAGAGAGTGCAAATTTGAAAGATTTCCAATATTGTGGGGAATATTTCCATAAAATCCAGCAAATGATAGATTCAAGTACTCGAGGCTTGTGAGAGATCCAACGAAAAATGGGATTTCTTCCTCAAACTTGTTTTGGCTCAGGTCAAGATATTTCAAATGCTTCAAGTTGAGCAAGGATGAGTTTATTTTGCCACCTAAAGAATTACCTTGGAGATGGAGTTGAAGAACTCGGCCAGTTAAGTTGCTGCAAACAACACCTTTCCACTTGCAACAATCAAATTTAGCATCCCAAGAAGACAACACGTTTACGGAGCCATTTAGAGATTGTTTGAAGCTTAAAAGTGATTGTTTTTCAATTTCGTGGCAGTTGATACAGTTGCTTAGTTTGAAGTATATGAAAAGAAGGGCTAAAGACAAAGCTGCGAGGATAGAAGGTTTTGGTGCACTCATCATCATTATTTTAATTTGCAGAGTTTATCATTGGGCTAGGAATTTGAACTGATGTTGTTATTGTATAAAGACTAGCTATATATATATCTTCATATGTAGCATATGTAGAGATATATGGTGAACCTTTTCTTATTCTTTGTACTAGTCGAGTAACTTTAGAAACGTACTGGGAAACTTGATGCATCCTTTTCCTGGATTGGTGCTTTTTTTTCCCTTGATGTTAAGTGTAGAAATTTGTCATTTGTGCATGCATACATATTATTAACCTGAGTGATACATAGTCAAGTTGGGTAGAGCAGATAAGTATTGACTTGTCCTCATCATCTCAAATAGCACCAAGACGACCTTGACTTGACTTGGTCTGAACACAATAATCTTTCGAAGACGAATTGATTAGAAATTTCTTCTCTTTGATGTCCAAACAAATAATATTGGTCTGGACACCTCTAAGAAATTAATTATTGATTATACGTGTTATATTTTAGTATCGCGTTTTATTTTAAAGTAGCAATTTATTACACATGGTTGTAAATGGTGTCAGCTGTTAAATCTCCAGATACAGAGCATAACAATTTACTCATCATGGATTTTTAATCTTACACTTGTTGAGCAAGAATCAGAGGTTTTTGTGTAAACAGTTTAAAGCTTCACTCAAACTTAGTGAAAACAGTCTAAATGAATTTGGTCAGTAGACCTCTTGCAAACAAAAGCTTCACTCAAACTTTGTGAAAAGTGTAAATGAATTTGGTCAGTAGACCCTCATGCAAACAAAAACACTCCTTATCATTTGCAATAATGTATACATTTTCCCAGGAACATATGGTGCCTGCAATAGGCTTTCTAAGAGTTGATGTATATAAATATAAATAAACTTACTAAATGTTCCAAAACTGGAAAATTTCTATTAAACTAAGCAGACCAAATGAGAAGGCGACTAACATGATAATCTTGATTGGCGAACATAATAGTCTTGATTGGTGACGAGTGAGCCGACAAGTGACCTAACCATACAAGCTTCAGCCAAGGAATCACTCTGTTACATCCTCTCTGCCTCTGCCCACATCCCATCCAAAACTATCAAGTTCGTGGTTTCAAAGTTTATAGCGTCAAAACCAACAAATTGCCCTCTTGGGAACAAATGCAATTTCGAATTCTTCAGTTTCATCATTTTCATCACTGGCTTGGAATTTTTTCACGAAACAACCTTTTCAAACATTGTGTTCAATAGCTGTATTGGAGGGCAATATCTCGTCGAAACTCGTGATTTCTCTACATTGGTCCCCTAAAATCCAAGTATTGATGAAGGAGCTGACAATGGTGCCGCATTTCCAACCGTAAAATTGATGAAGATTTCACCTTTATCAACTGGCGTAGCATCTTCTTTCGATTCACAGATAAGATCACTTCTCCCCACAAATTATCTATCCGAAACTTCTAAATCACAGTCTTCACTCGGCATTTCGTCAAACACGTGGCGGGTCTCATCAAGCCTGGCCCGATCGACACAACATTGGGTTTCAAGAGACCAGATTTGAGACCCGGGCTTCACAATGAACGTCGAAAACCCAACCACGTCGACGTTCTTTAAACCTAGGGTTGCTCTGCAGGCCGAATTGAGGTGGCGAATTTTTTCCCGCCTGTGCTGGATAACGGTGTCGGCGACCGGGTTTGTGGAGGGCCAGCGCCGGGAGAAGGCCGTAGAGGCAAGTGCGGACCGGCTTCCTGCTGCACGACGGGCAAGAGGGTCGCTTGGCCTTGCCAGCTTGGGTCACCATTTGAGAGTTCGAGGTTTGGAATTGGAGTCATGGATTCTGATAGGGCTGGAGCTGTGGATTCAGACCCAATTAGAATCCAGTTCGGGTCTAAGGCCCAGAGGCAATCAGGCTTTGAAGGTGATCTAGTGGCAAAATTATGTAAGTACCTAATCACGCTAATCTACACATACCAGTACGTGGATGCGGGATGAAAAGTATTACGATTATATTGTATAATTTAAATATATAAATAACAATAGTCATATGCTTTAGTCATTATTTTTAAAATTGGACCGGACCGAATAGTCTGACCCACTGGACCGCGAAACAATTTATCGATTCGTCCGGTTTGCTTGAATAAAACGTTTATTTGTGAATCGATTAACACCAATCGCTCGAACTAGAAGGTTTTGTATGATTTTTAAATAAATTTTGTAACATTTAAAATTATTTTTAATATGAATAAAATTACAACCTTCGTCCACAAGAAAATTTACGACGAAATCCGCATATGATATTAATTAATTTAATAAATTAAATCCTAGTTCAACCAATAATATATTGAATAAATAACCTGATCGGTTCGTTGATGGTTGATTATGAGAAACTTTGATTTATCATACATTAATAAAAGTTGTAATGTAATGCAATATCATTTAGTTTATATGAATATTAATAAAATAAGATATAAAAATTCATAAATCATTGAACATATTTTCATAAAACTATTCTTGGAGCTTGGATTACATTACATTTATCATAATAATGCATTTTTAATGTTAAAGTTTCTATTTAGTTTCCATAATTAATTTGGTCTGGTCAAAGTGACCCGTGACCAAGGATCAACCCTAGTTGTGTAATTGTTTTGGACTATTATAAATATCACTTAAGAGTAATTTGATCAACCTAGGAAGTAACTTATTTCAATCACTCGATTGATCCAACGAAATTTCCTTATTATTCCTCAAATATATTAATTTTATAAAATAATTCATGTAACAAATATTTATAATAATTAAAAATATATTAAGATGGTATATTATATATCTAAAAATAAATGAATTATTTTTTACTCTATGCATATTTATAAAACTTATACTCTAAAGATTATTTCCGATAAAATCTACAATGCTAAAAACAAATTAAAAAAAAAGAAAAAAAAAATCTATAGAATTTTCTATTTTAGTAGCTAAAGTGTTTAGTGAGAAACTACCATACTATTTTAAGTATATATATATATATATTATTGGCAAAAACTGAATAATCTGGATTGTGTGGATTTGTGAGGATCCAATTACATGATCATTAGCGGAACAATTGAGTTTCTAAAAAAAAAAAATTTAAGACCATTTCCAGCCCTTATCCATACTATAATGTAGTGTTTACTCTACTCGAGAGTAGAGTTAAACAAAAATCAAGTTTCATCTCCGACCGTTCGCTCTACATTATACACCACATACAATATCTTTTTTTATCCTCTTTATCTTAAAATATTTTAATATCAAAATATAATTAAATTAGATATGTTATTTTACACACATTTAATTATTTACAATATAATAATATAAATAATAAACATAAAAATTTAAATAAATATAGCAGTATTTATATAAAGATTATTTTTTATATGGGATAACCATACAAGGTCGACTAATCTCGAGAAGCAACATGACTGAACAAGATAGATCAAGAGGTGGAACAATGATTAAGATCATATTAGGTCGAATAAGCCTCAAGTCGACGATTCGTCGTCGAACCCAAGAACATCGACAAGTCGAACTAGGGCCCCTCACGGCCTGATAGAAGTTCGACATGAAGGTATAGAGAATCGAATGTCGATAAATATGCATTTAGCATGAATTAAATGTGTAACAATACTATCAACTAATTATGCATTTTTTATGAACTAAATATGCACTTCGTATGAACAAGATGTGCATTTTGGATGAACTAAATGTGCAGTCAAAAACTGCAACTGACAGCAACATCATGGAGTCTTCTACTGTGTTTAATTATGCTCTCAATTAAGTATGCATTATTTATAACTAAAATATGCATTGTGAATTATCTAAATATGCACAAGAAATAAAAGCAAATGTGCATTAATTATATAATAAAAAACCCAAAGATCATATGCAGTTATTCATACTTTAAATAAATTACATATCTGACCCTCAACAATCAAATTGCAATAACTTTTAAGTTTTTGAAATTGCAATTAAACCCCTAAAATTTATCTAATTTTCAAAAAATATGTCCTAGCCCCAATTCCCCAAAATATTATTCACAAATCGAACAATCTGGCCGACCAGTGATAGCGCTCTTGTGCCTCCGATTGAAGTCTGAAAAATGCATCTCTCATCGGCCAGTGGTGGCGCTCCTGTTTAAAGGAGAGATGATCGGACATGGCTGCTCCGACTGTGGCTGCGCGAGAAGACTGACTGAAAATTTTTTTAGTCCGACATGTGTGTCGGACTTCTTCGTCGAACTGTTGTAGTGAGAAGACGACCACATCGTTGCAGACAACACGTTTCGTCTCCCGTTTGTCAACCGATATTGAAAGAAAGCGAGTACAGCCAAATCTTGATTACAAATTACGACCGACCCATGTTGAAAAGCTTCTCCATTTTATTTATTTTAAAAAATCGTCTAATAATTGCAGGAAGTTAGACTAAAATTATGATAAATAACGAATAATTCCCACAGCCAGTGTCATCTTAATAGGAAGATCGAATAACAAGACTAAACTCAGGAAACATCTCTTATCAGGTCACTTTCAATTCTCTGCCTGCGCGTGTGTGTTTCATTTTCCATTTTTCTTTTTTTATTTTCTTTTGGTCTTTCTTCATATTTTTTTTCTTAAAAATTTTTGTGCTCTTCTTTAATGAGTTTTTTCTGCTTGACTTCCCCCATGGATTCTAGATTTTTGAGCATTGGTTATAATTCTGTCCATAATATGATCCTCATTAATAAGTTATTTAGTCTGTGCCTGTTTAATTATGTTTATTAATTATTATCTTATAAATTTGATGTTAATTGGTTGTCCCATTGAGGAATTTGATGAAAAATTCTATTCATAATATGATCATATACAGTTTTGTCGGAGCTTTTTGGATAGTATGAATATGAAATCACTTGATTTGATTTTGCAAAAAAAAATGGGAAAGTAATTTGCCTGTGAAAACTAATAAAAGTTGCTAGAATTACAAACATGTATAGGCTAATGCTGCACTAAGTCAAGTGAGGCCTCAGGTGAAAGAGTTGTGAAAGTGCATCTAAAAGTAGCCGAGGGGTTTCAAAGAGCCTAAAACCGACTCTTTTTAATCTAAAGTTGTTGTGTGCTTGCAGATATGATTGCACAAATAGCTTTCGGATTATTGGCAGGTTTTATTGGATATGCTTATGTAGCGATAAAGCCTCCGTGTAGCAGAATATGCGGCTCGAAAGGGGGCCCGCAAGTGACCTCAGCGAGAGTAAGACTCGATGACGGGAGGCATTTGGCGTACAAGGAAAGGGGTGTGGCAAAGGAAATAGCCAAACACAAGATTATTATTGCTCATGCCTATGCCGACTCTAAAGACTTCAACTTTCAGATTTCTCAAGTAAGGAAAATGTTTAGTGGGGTTTATGTTCCTTGATATTTAGAATAGCTTTCGGGACACGTGAGTTTGAAATTAAATTATGTGATAGAAAGTCACCAACATTAATTTGTTTGTACTCATCCAGTGAGATCTTTTAATGTTCTTATCCAGGGGAAGAATGGCATATTTTGTTTTCTCAGTTTAACATTTTGTATTTCTTCTTGTTTGTATATATGTAAAGAAGTTTTGATCCAAGTATGGATTATTAGGATATTGGAAAACAAATTGTATAACATTCGTCACACAGATCACTAAAACAAGTTTGAATTTCCCCTAATAGAGCATAAAACATATAGCCGGTGACTTACCCCACTTCAAACGATTCTCATTAAGTTACATACTGAAGAGATTAATGAAAAGTAGTTTTGAACATATTGTTTAATGCGTGTATTGCGCTGTGACTGTTGAAAATATTGTGTTTTTCTTAGTTTGTATAAAATGAGCTTAGATCAGTAATTTATTAATTTTTTTCTTATTCATTCTCTTCTTTCACTGATTACCAGGAAGTCCTTAAGGAGCTGCACATATGCATCCTAACATTTGATCGTGCAGGCTATGGAGAAAGCGATCCAAATCCCGGACGTTCAGTGAAAAGTGAAGCGTTTGATATTCAAGAATTAGCAGATAAGCTGCAAATTGGCCCGAAATTTTACGTGATGGGCCTCTCTATCGGTGCATATGCAGTTTACGGTTGCCTAAAGTACATCCCACATAGGTAAAATGGCGATAACTAATTCAGTCCAATATCTCTTGTTGTCAAGCAAATTCAAGTACTTCACACATTCGGAGCCATTCACCAACATTTTTGTTGTTACTTTCAAACTTCTAGTTAATACTTACAATTCGGCATTAATGCTTATAAAAAAACAAGGGGAGCAATTTTCACTTCAACCACATTAATATTCATCCAGGATTTTTTGTTAAAAGGTTATCAGGGGCTACCCTTGTGGTCCCCTTAACCAACTTCTGGTGGCCTTGCTTTCCAGCCAAGCTATCAAGAGATGCCTTAAATGGGCTTCTCTTTCAGCAACTTTGGACTTATCGGGTGGCCCATTATGCCCCGTGGTGGATGAACCAAAGCTGGCTTCCGTCCCTAAATAGCCTCGTGGGAAAGCCCGACCCATTCAGTCGTTCGGACTTAGAGATCCTCGAGCAATTGGCCGGTAAAGCTCCAACTCCAGGTCAGGTAAAATCAAATCCTTGGTTAGATAGCTATTTCTCGTCTTTAATCGATTTTGTCAGACTTGTCGTGATTCCAATCTTTCGTTCTGTTTTCAGTATAAGATGAAGAAAAAAAATGCATAAAGAAAATCCATTTGTTCCTTTCAGGGGATGGAGACACAGCAAGGCCTGCACGAGTCTTTGCATCGGGACTTAATGGTGGCGTTTGGGAAATGGGATTTTGATCCGACGGATATTAGCAATCCTTTTCCGGAGGGCGAAGGAGATGTTAACATGTGGGTAGGACATGAAGATAAGGTGTTTCCTTTAGAGCTCGCTCGGTATTTGTCCGGGAAGATACCATGGATTAGGTATCACGAGGTTGCTGATGCTGGCCACCTGTTGATTTATGACGAAACCAATTGCGAAGCCATTTTTAGGGCACTCGTGTGGACGTCTTTGGGTATGTGATTGGGAGAAAATGTGAAGAACAATAGATTTCTACCTGCAGCATTTGAGTTATATGACTGGGCATGTCAAAAAAACTCGCAGGGTCGGGTTTCCCGCATTTTCGGGTCGGGTAAACCCGGAATGGGTCGGTTTCGAGTATAATTATGCTACCCGAAGCCTGAGTCGGGTCGGGTTCGGGTATGATAGAAAAACCCGTTACCCGACCCGATTACCCAACTCGTTTACCCGCAAGCATAAAATCTTATATATATATATATATATCATATTATAAATATAAAATTAAATTACTTCTTATAATTTGGTTAATAGTTTAAATTTTATTTTATTTTTCTGATTTTGTTTATGAATTTTCCTTTTAGTTGTACAATACAAAAATTAAATACTTAATTTGTAAATGTCATATTATTACTAAACCATAAAAAATAAATAATTATATCCAATATTTATTGCAAGAATAATATAGATACTTTTATAGTCATTTTATTGCTAGACTTAGTTAATAAATTGTTAGTTAAATTATATTTAATTGTAGAATTATTTTATTTTATTTTTTTACACATGAAACGGGTCGGGTCGGGTCGGGTCGGGTCCAAGTACAACCCAAATTTAAGAATTTGGGTTACCCGTTTACCCGATGAAGACCCGATAACCCATTGGGTAAAACCCAACCCGAACCCGAAATTCACTAACGGGTAACGAGTCGGGTAAATTTTTTGCGGGTCGGGTTTGGGTTTGCCAAAACCCGCACCCGACCTGACCCATTTACATCCCTAGTGACCGTAAATATTCTAACAACACATCGTACATATAATAATATTACCTAAAACAACAAGTATGTCGACTCAGTAAACTGAATCTCACTTTAGTGAATCAAGTAATAGTTACAATATGTATATGCCTGTTTATATCTTACGGGTTAATAGAATGCAATAATTACCCGAGACTTAAGTTTGTTTATGACGATCAATATAAAACAAACTGTTACTCTCTAAGATCCTGTTCAATACATAAATGTACTAGTGCAATTAATCAGTCAAGACCAACCGTACGGTTGACACTGCAACCGTTCTGATGGTTTGTTCATTTCCATCTAGGTTGTGAACCAACAATTCATGTTTCGCAAATAACTGATAAAATGATCTTTTGTTCACCCGATAATAAACCATTCTATCTAAGTGCAAAACAACATAACACATAACTTATTTAATCAAACATGATTCTCATTAAACAAAGATAAAGTGTAAAATCATCTAAAGACAAGTTTTTAGTATATAACACCAACAGGATGAGAGGTGTGCGAACAGGGCCTAGTACGAACGCGAGCACGGGACAACGAGGACTCAGTGAAGCGCACGACGAGGACTGCGGCGTGCGAATAGGGCTTGGGATGAACGGTGATAGGGGCCTAGTACGAACGGCGACGGACGAGTGCGAATAGGGCTTGGACTGTGTGATTGTGCGATTTTGGGCTGTTTTTAGAGTAGTGTGATTTTGGGCGAGATAAAGGCAGACGCATTTTGTTGGGCGCGATAGACAGAGGGCTTGGAGACGCGCGAATTTGATAAATTTGAAAAATTGTATAACAGTTGTTCAAATACCCGTTATAGACAATTGAGAATCTGAAAACTTTATAAAAGGTATAATTAATTTCATAGAACCCAATATAAAGAGAACATTATTATTACAAAAATGCCACCGTCATTATTTTTTATAACGGGTTTAACAAATCCGTTATAAAAACCCTGTTATAAAAAATATATTTTCTACTAGTGATAATTTTTCAATCAGAATTTACCTAGTATAAACATGCATTTCAGATTTATATATCAAAATAAAAAGAATTTACCTATTTTCGTTTTCTCCTAAAATTCAAGCCATAGCAGATTAGGTAATTTATAAAGAAAATACACAATAATTCACTGAATCTCTTGAAATTATATTCAATTCAAAATTTATCTATCCTGTTTACCGAACATGAACACGCATTTTAGAATTCATGTATCAAATTCAATTCAAAATTTATCTATCCTGTTTACCTAACATGAACACAGCATTTTATAATTCATGTATCAAATTTTAAGAACTTACCTATAAGAAATTTTTCTCCTAAAATTCAAAGATTACAAATTTAGTAATTTCTAAATAAAAATACATACTAATTCACTTAATTTATCAAAATTACATGCAATCATAATTTATCAATCAGTATTTACCTAACATAAACTGACATTTCAGATTTATGTATCAGAATTTAAAGAATTTACCTATTAAAAAATGTTCTCCTAAAATTCGATCCATAACATATTAGGCATTTTTTTTTAAAAAAATATATATAGTAACTCACCAAATCATTCAAAATTAAATGCATTCCGGAATTTACTTATTATAATTTAATTATTAGAATATCTTCTCTCACAAATTCATTTATGAAATATTTACGTTGTATTTTTTATTTTTATTCAAATGATTTAATTGAATTAACTTTGAAATAAAAAAAATGATTTAAAGACTAAAAGAAAATTAATACACAATATTGAAAATATGTGAAGTCACCCTTATGATAAAATATTATTGTGTGGGGAAATTATTGTGTTTTCACCACATGAACTAATCGGAAATTACCTCCTTTTCTTGTTACGTGCGGGTACCCGTGCGGGTTAGTTTTATTAAAGTAAGCATTTAGATTTGGATGATTGAATGATAGGACGAACGTAAAACGCATGTATTGTAATAAAATAAAATATAACTTATATATTATTGAACACATCCTTATACACAACATTATTTGTTTGGTCTTTTGGTACATCACTTATCGCCAAAAATTATATTAGGATTTTAGATGGACTTAAATAAATCAATTAAATTATTTATCAGGATATATATGATATGATTTATACTGCTTTTATGAATATTACATAGCCATATAACGGGGATTGTAAAATGTATTTCTTGATAATCTATAGCCTTATTATTTTAAAAATGTAAATTATTTAATTTAAGGAAGGGAAAAATTGTGTAAGAGTGTAAACAATCAATTTCAAATTTATATTCTAGAGGATTAAACGAAACTCAAATTTTTAGGATATTCCAATCTGATTTCATTTTGAATTTCAAATTAATATTATTTGACTATGTACCTAAATTAAATCCACAAAACTCATGAATTTAGGGTACATATATAGCTGATCGATTTTTCGGGAATAATTTAAAACAAAAATAATCAAAAATTGCTAAAAATACAATGCAATAAATGCTGATTGACTTTTATTGTTACTATTTTTGGTAAATAGATTGACTCTTTATATATATATATATATATATATATATATATAGGGGTTGGTTCAAATAAAAACTAGTCCTGGTGTGAGAACCGTGAGAACTATATTTCGTGCTATTTTTAATTGTGTATAATGCTATTTTTAGTCTCACATGGTGCTATCATTTTTACAAATACTAACATAAATGTCTTGCTATTTTTAATAAAATACATCCTGATTACAAATAGCACTAAAATACAATCAATCATAGCACTACATATAATTAAAAATAGCGGTTTTCACGGTTCTCACACTAGGACTTAGTTCTCATTTGAACCAAATATATATATATATATATATATAAGATTCATATGTCTTTATATCTATACTTATATTAAAAGGAGTCCTATTTACCAAATTAAGTAGCCAGAAAAGTCAACAGCATTTATTGCATTACTATTTCCGTATTATACAATCTATACTTATATAAAAGGAGATTCTATTTACTACATTTACTATTCAGAAAAGTCAACTGCATTAAATGTCATTACTATTTTGGTATTATAATACTAGTGTGTGGCCCGTGCGATGCACGGTAACAACAATATTACAATTGTATTATAAATTAAATATATATATAACATTAATCATGAATTATCCATTGTTTTTGAATTAAATCGAGTTGGTCACAGTCCGACTGGATGGATCGAGAATCGGTTTATAATCAGTCTAGTTCGCTTGAATAAAATATTTGCTCTCGAATCCGTCAACACCAGTCGGTTGGGCTGGGAGGATCGATACGATTTTCTAAATAAATTTTGTTATATTTAAAATTATTTTAAATAAAACTACATATTTAAATAAAATAGAGATTATAAATTATTTATCAATTAGTTTAAACATTTGAATTTATAAATTATTTAGATATCTAAGTAACACATTTTATTTAAATTTATTACAAAAAGTACTATATCTATATATATATATATTAAAAAATTTATAAATTAAAATCTGAACAAACCACAAATGAGTTAATAAAATAGCTTGATCGTTTCGATGACGGTCCAGTTCTGAACACCTTATATTTACTGTACATTAATAAATATTATAATAAAATATTATATAATTCACATAAATATTAATAAAATGATATATACATATTCATAAATCTAAAGATGTTGTCATAAAAGTATTGTTAATACGATTATTTGAAGTTTGGACTACATCACATTCACGTAATAAAATATTTTCAATATAAAATTTATATTTATGTTCAATAATCAATTTGGTGTGGTCGAACTGATACATAACTTAGTCCCCTGGAACCAACCAAGTTGTGTTAAATTTTTTTACTATTTTAAATATTACCAAAAAATAATTCAATCACCCGATTGATCCGAAGAAATTTTCTTATTTTATTTAAATATATTTAATTTTATGAAATAAAAATATTTTATGATTCATATAATAAATGTCTACACCAAATGATAGTATATTAAGATTATAAATTATATATCTATAGATGAATTAATTATTTTTATTTTATGCATATTAATAAAAAATAAACACAATAATTTTCAAAAAAATAAGAGTAATTGATTGATTATGCAATTAAAGAATATTGTTTGCGATCAATATTTTTATAAAGTCACAAATATAAAGACCGAGACCCTAAAATTTTTGTTATATTTTGAATTGAGATTTCATAAATATAGAGACCGATATTTTAATATTATTCGTTGTTTTTAAGAAAAAAAATAAAAATAAAAACATACACACTTAATAAATTTTAGCCAGATTTTTTAAATAATAAAATAAATTACAGCCCGAAATTTAATGTAGCATTTAATGTTGTATGATTTTTAAATAAAAAATTAAGA